TCGCTCGCACACCGACAGAAAATTAAACTTAAATTAACGCTACTTTAATTCCATAGAAATAGCTCTCTACGTTGACTTTATTTCATCTTCTTTCATGTAGCACTTATAAAGCCTATCCCGCATCTACCGCAGCGACGCTTAATGACATGCTCTTTAAGCAATTTAAAGTCCATTTTTCGTTAACGGAAGCGTCAAAGAATATTACTAATTACTGCGATCACCCAATGTTTAATATTATACTATATCCTCCTAACAAAGTTTCAGATTAATATTTTGCTTTGCATGTTTTTTATATAAGTTTTATATTTGTTTCTTAGTAGCTTAATTTTTTTAAGCCATATTATAGATTATTATTCTAGAGTGACTAGAGTTATATTTTATCTCAGTATGTCATCGATTAATCAACGATCACGCTTCGGATCGAGTAATTAACCTCCTAATTAAACAATGCCTTATACGGCATGCGTCGATATACATAAGAAAACGTAAAGAAAAGTCGACAAATTACTCAAAGTAGATTGGCTGTCGAAGAATTACGCGAGATTCCTCTCTTATGTATGATTTATATCCCAAGCGCCTCTGGTCACCTATTCGATTCATCGCTCTAGCCGTAGGCGTGTTTAGTCGCGCGTCGACTTGGTCGACGACCAAGACGAACCTAAGTAAAACGACCTTGCGCAAACAGCGACGAACGCGCGCTCGGGTTCGACGACCGCTCGGTATAGCTCGCGAGATGCACAACCGGCAGTGCCTTTCTACAGCCTTGACTGCAACCTCCAGCAGCGGCTCCGTCGTCGCCGCTACCAGCTTCGTCACGTGCATCCTGTGACGTGGTCACTATCCCTCTCCGCCGCCGCGACGAGCGCGAACAATGCGCGATGCAACGCGCGAGTTGATAAAATAAGGCGAATTGGCGCTTTTCGCAGAACGAAAACATGTGCCGATTGTGCGTGTGGCCGTGCGGCGTGCACGCGGTCATTATTGCTTTCCTGAACACGCACGGCGCTGGCTGGCAGTTTGACCCTTTAATTCTATACGGGTGCGGTATGTGCGCGTCCTGCCACAATGGGAAACTTCGCAGCAACGGCAAACGTAATAACGCAGCGCAACAATACCGACCGCTTTTGCGCTAATTCGTAACCCACACATCCGTGCATATTGATCCTTTGTTATTTCGTATTATGTTATTTTCCCTGTGTATCCATATGCATCTTTATTTATTAAACTCATATATTCGCGTGAAATATAGAACTGAGTCACTTGTATTGATCATGCTTCATACGCATCAACGTGATTTGACCGCCGCGCCGGCTTGATTATGCTTTATAACTCATGGCATCACGTTTCATTATCCCGATTGAACAACGTAATTTGCAACAATGACCTAATCATTAGGGAAGGATTTAACATCTACGTTACGTATCACCCAATTAAATTTTCGTTTAATTAGGAGAAATAATTAGATGTAATTAAACACATACTATACGGAAAAGTATGAAATATACGTATCAAAGTTCACGTAACCGTAATCGGGAATCGCGCTTTGCGGAGCCGCGTCGAATGAATCTCAACTTTGTAAATAAAAGTCCGAACTTTCACGCATTAGATACTATTTATATAGATAATGAATTTTACGTTTACAGCGTCGCAATCGTGGCACTCTTCCAAACAAACTTACTTTTATATCCTTTTCGTATCCTATTTTATATTTACCGTTCTGCTGAACGAACGTATAACTTGACAATCATATCATTCGTCTCCGTCAATCTTCGTGAATCAAATATCCCAGAAATTTTTACCGTCACGTCCGATATCGCGCGATGTCAATGCCATCGGAGACAAAAACATCGAATAATATACCTGGACCTGTACTTGGACAAATAAAATTGCTCGCGGTTGCCTATTGAATTTTAGCGTCCTTATATACTTTTTTTCAAGCTTCGACACTTGGGCACGATTCAAAAGGCGCTGCAAAATGCTTCAATTCGATATGACATGTGAACGACCTCTTTATCTCCGTAAAGCGGCACGAAAACGTGGCCCTAACGGGAGTATTTAGTCGCGAAGCGAAGTGCCTGTCCGCACATGCGAGCGCGTGACGTGGACGGATGTCGGGCTGAATTGTCGCAATGGCCATAACCGGGGCCCGACGCAACGAGTATGCGACCCTTTTCCCCCCGTTCTAAGACAACAGATCCGCGAAATTTACAAATCCTTATTATAAATTCATTTTAAAAAACTTTTTTTACCGCACATGTTTCGTTACCTTACGACAACCAACTAAATTAAATCTCAAATAAATAAATGCATGTACAAAACAGCCGATTTTCGATGATACATTTATATATTAGATTCGAGTAAGTGGAATAAATTTCTATAATCCGATCTTGGAAAAGCTCCACACACGCGCAATACAAAGTTATAAAAGAATTAAATATAGTTCACTACATTTTATCCATGTCAGTTATAATTATCGTTTCATTTCTTTCGCATGAACAAATATCTGTCGGTTGGACTAATGACTGACAGATTTTTTGTTCCCAAGCGATTCTTTGTTACAAATTATCAATAACGAATTTCAAACACGGCTTCAAAGCATTCAAAGAGACATATATTCATTAGAATTTCTTTTGCCAATCTCACATTTCACCTGATAGGGATTTGCTCATTTAATATCTCATGTTTACCTTATGTCATTGAGAGTACGTCTCTAAAATTTGATACTATGATAACGAATGCTATGTAATGCGTTCGTAAATTGCGTCAGCTTTTATGATTCGAATGTATTTTCGTATCAGTATTTCTTCTGTAACTAACAATAAATAAAAAAGATTCGTACGCTGGGTATATCTGAATATTTCAATATTACGCTTCAAATATATACAAAACACGGTTCATCCCTGATTTGGATTGTACGGCTGTGTCGTAGATAATAAGATCGCAACAATCAATCCCACTGTGCGACCTTGCCTCTTTTCCACTACCGCGGTATTGCCCGGATTTTTCTAGTTCGCTGATCAGCCTCAATTCGATGGCATTACTGCGCGAATCTATCAGCGAGGATTATTTGATTTCGCGAATCTCGTAAACGAAATCATATCGCAGAAAAATTGGGAAGACGCTCGCAGTAATTTCACCTAAAAAATATTTGCTAGCTATTTCTGTAGCGGATATATTGTTTCAATTGATATCTAACATTGCAATGAGCAAGTTAGCGCATTGTAGAATTTTTTAAATTTACTCATATCAATTTTAATCTTTATATTACTTTTGACACCTAATATTAAAGTTCTGCACGCAAGTTGTAACGCAAACATGAATGCGTATTAAGAGCGATAGACATATCCATAAATATATTTCACCATATCCATAAACATATTTCACAATCTCCATAAAAATATTCACTGTGCTCATATAGAAACAATGGGTTAAATATCTTCCAACGGAGTGCAGTTTTCGCGCAACTTTCGCGCGGGTAATAAATCGCTTAAGTGTTAACGGAAATATGGCCGAGGGGAACCGGAAAATTTATATGGTGGTCCGGTTAATCCTTTCTTTGTGAATAAATTTAACGTTCCCCCGGAGACCACCGGTAAGTTTTACGTAACCACGCGAAAAAGCAGAGCGGCGCAGCCGCGTTTTATCGAGGCGCGCCAACAAAGAGCGTTTAATAATGTCGACGGGGAATTGAGTGTGTTTTCTCATTCGCATTCTTCCTCGTGCGTTCGCTTCTTTTCTTACTCACCGCTCGTAACATATACGTGCATCGCACGCTGATCTATTCCTTCTCGCGTGAACTCGCACGTGAACACACACGACCACGTGCGTCGTTCACGCAGAAAGTATGATCGAGACACTAGTCACGTTCCGCGAAGGACGAATTCGCGACAAAGCGCATTTTTGCAATCGCTTTTGCTTCAGATCGCTTGAAAAATTATATAAAGTGACGATAAAAATTACATCTACAGAATATACTGAGAGAAATAAAAAGGGTATCAGCGTTTTCGACTAATAAATAAAAGCATTTAATAAAGGAACAACACTGTTGATGTACCATCGTTAATTATTATTCACGCTAATTGTTTGCGTTGCATAAATTTGCGATAAATTATATTATTCACGATAAATTGCTATACAGCTAAACAAATTATATTACCCATTAAAATTGTTCAAATTAATTGCAATATTCACGGGAATTTCACATGTGTTGTTTATCCTAAAATAGAGCTTCGTGTAAAATCAGAAGAAAATGACTTGGCAGTGCACGTTCCTTTCAACGAGTAAACCTCATGCTGGCTAAAAGCAAATATAAACGTTTTCTTGTGCACGATATAGAAGCGAGAAAGCCTATAAGTTGCCTAAACATCAACAATCATCGTGCATTTGTCGTTCTTTGTGAGACATTGCTTGTTGTAACAATACTGTATGCAATTTTTATCGTGAGATAAAAATTCTACAAAAGTTTTAACAACTCTATCAAAAATCATATATTTACATTATACTTTCTACATTTGCCTACAATTTTTTATTCATAGTTGTTTAATATATAACGCGATATCGCGTAAAAGGTCGTAGTTCAAAAGATCAGAACTACAATAAAATAATGAGATATGATATTGAAGAATAGAAAAGAATGAAAGATGATAATAATGATTTACGACGTACATAAATTTATGTACATCGTAAATCATTAACTTTCATTCTCTTCTATTGCCGTTCTTTTGTTAAATCTTGTATTCACTGATCGAAAATGTTAATACCCTTTTTATTTCTCTCAGTATATTCATGTATATAAGTATAATTTTTATCGTTACATTATAATTTTCCGAGCGATCTGAGGAAAAGCGACCGTAAAAGATACAAGTTATGACATTTCACGTCAATACGATCGATCAAAAGCCAGATTTCGATTTTGATTCGAAGCTATCGGATCGAAATTCGCTTCAGGAATCAGGATCAAACGGCATGGGGACGCCGTCGTGAATGCGAGGCATACATACCGAGCGGAATTCTCGCTGGCCAACTGCGATTTCTCGGTGTGGAACGGCGTGCCAAATGTCATGACAGAGCAAGTGGGCGGCGGGCGTCGCTGGGAATGCTCGTCCCGAGTATTATCCTTATCAGCGGTGCGGCCGCCGAACAGCTCGACTAGTCAGCTGATCGCGCGATGCTTCATCGCTTCGGTCAGCGTGCGCATAACGGCCGCAGGAATTTTCCCGTGTATCGCTCGACTGCCCTCCTCCCACGCGATAATCGGCACTTTTTCACTCCGTTAGGGTTCGACTCCGGATGGTCTCTGAGGGGGAATTGAAATCGCCCGCTTCTTCCTGCTGTCACCGATATATTCGTTCGGCTTATCGCCTATCTTCTCTACGACGCGACGGGTTTGAGATTTGTCGGACTTGCCTTTTAGGATAATTCAATGCCGCTTCGCGCAAGCGAACATTCGTAATATCTTTGACGGCTAGCTGGAGGCGTTTAAAATCCTCCTCTAAATTCCGATTCACAATCTTCTACCAAAGGTAAACACACGCTCGGCTCGGAGAGCGCGTCCTCGTTCGCTTCGGAGAGCGGAATTGGGTATCCGGTTCGCGCTGGTCGGCGTGAAGCGGGCCTCTCTTCACGCGCACGTATAACACGAGAGGCGGAGGCCGGTGTGTTGTGGTGGTAACGGTATATCGCGAAGAGACGTTCGTAAGAGATTTACCGGAGCGAGCAGACGAGGTGCAACGACCGGCTGATCGCGTCCACCGCCACACCGCGACTTGTCTCGTTTCGTGTTGAATATGTGTATGTTTATATGAGGGCACGCGGTATAGCGTTATACGTTATTGAAAATTTCAGCCGCTTGATCCCGGCGCTCATTTATTTTTCATCTCGCGCTGAATGTGCGTTCCCCCGTTCGAGCGCGCCTCTCGACCCGCTCCAAAATTAAGCTAGTTGCCGATTGATCCCCCAGCTACGCGAGGGGTATATCCCAAGCTGCTTAAGCGCGTTATCCTATTCAGCTTGTGATCGTCACTTGAACTCAGCTATCCGCGCAACTAATCCGCTGCGCCAATTTGTCTTGTCTCGGGATGGATATCTATCAGATTGCCCGTTATCCGTCTCGATTCGTTTTGGAGATTACACGTCTTGATCCAGCTACTTATCCCGATATCTCTTCAATCAAGCTATCCTACTGTAGCTCGCGGTTACGGACTTGCTCGATTGTTTCACCCGTTTTATCTTGATTCTCGTCACTACTGGAATACAGCGTTGAGTATCCTCTATTTAATCCAAGCTCCTCAGTTATAATAGTAAATTTTGTTTCGGATTATAGCCGTTGTTTAGACTTTCCAGTCACAAAACATCCGCACTGATTCACCTCGAGCAGGATTTAGTTAGCGGAGCACAATCGGAGCACACCAGTCGGAGCACGTTTCCTCGGTTTATCCCAGGCTCTTCGATGTCAATACGCAACGCGCTATTTGGAACGCGATTATCGTTTGGATCTCTCGCGATGTCGATGAGCGCAGTGTCTCGTTTCGACTCCCGTGAGATATCCGTTCCGGTCGGGATATCGTGGCACGGTTCGTCTATCCACGTCGCTCGAACGTCAACGCGTATCCTCTTGCCAATGTTAAGCCTCGCGGTTAGCGCTCTATCTCCTCGTGTCCGTCGACTGGCAATGCGCTGGCCGATGACAGGCGTCGCGGCGGGAGCGTCGAACGTGTTGCGTTGTGTGTCGCGCGTCGGAAACAGCGGAACGTACAAGCAGCGTCGGGCTTTTCACCTGCCGCCGCGGGTCCTCGCTCGCGAACGCTCTCGGAGTAACGATCGCACGAGCGTACGAGAGGAGGAAAAGGGAGAGAAGGAGAACGGGCGGGAGCGGGAGCGGGATCGACCGACCGCAGCCGAAGTGCAGCGAAGAAGGTCTGGATGGATACTGGTATGTACACCGGGTACCACTAGCTCGTGTCGCGCCTGGCAGCCGACTGACTCCGGCGAAAGAGGATGAAGCCGGGCGACGTGGCTCTGACGCCGCCGCCGCCGCGGGGCTTCACCGCCTTCGTCCCACCACCGCCGCCACCGCCGCCACCGCCATCGCCACCCCCGGATCGCAGCACCGCTCTGTCGCCAATGCCGCGAACCGTATCGGTTCGCCGTGCCTTCAACCCTCGCCGTCATATACCCGTATCCGTATTCTCAACCTGCGGCACGAGGAACACGTGTCGGCAGGATAAAACTACGTGGGTAGGCGATTCGCGAACCGAACGGGGCACGACGTCACGTCGTCGGTATTTCGAGAAATAGTCGATTTTAACCCCGCTCGTCCTAAAATAATCTGCGGATAACGGCTGCGCGCAGAATCTCGTTCCGCAATGTAGCTTAACAATAATGGTCCATTATCCGTGCTAAAAACAAGATACGGAGCACGATGCATGTACTTTAAAGACAGATACAACACGTAAAAGTTAAAGTTTATAACAAGCGGGTAACACGTCGCGGTTTCATTGTGCAATAATATTGTGTAACGAGCGATTCACATTAAGGACGTATCAGGATATATCCACGATATCAATGCATATAAGGCGGTTTACGAGCGCGGACATTAATACGTGATCAAACTCTCTTCCCGCCCGCTCGGACATGATGATGCAAACATGTTGGGTTTACGGATGCGACAACGACGTCACCGGAATAAGAGAACACCTGTTTGCTCGTACAATAGCGACACTGTCGGCAGCGCGAGCTTTCATACATGCATAGACACGCTGATATACCGCGTCCGCGGTATTTGAATGAAAATAAGTAACACCCGGAGGATGCAAAGTTTGTATAAAATGCAACATCGTTCGTGTCAATGCTACTTCTCGATATTTATGATTCCATTGGAGTTGGACGCAACTTCGCTTCGCGTCCGAGCTCATTGATTAACAATGAATGAGCATTGCTCGGCGCGATGCAACGCGAAGAATTAATATCTAAAGCGTTCTGACGACCATTTCAACATCAGTAAAATTTAATCACAAAGCTATGCAATAAAATATAGATACAATATAAAGTTTTTATGTTTTGCGGCTTTCATAACGCGGAATTTATTTTTTTATTTCTCGAAAAAAGAGATACTTGATTAAAAGAAATTCAAGTTAATATTTCATAAAATTTGTCGATTTAATTTTCCTGAAAGGTTTCCTTCCAAGCTGAATAGGAATCCTCATATCGCGGTGAATTCGTGAAATAGAAGCTTTTTATAAAAGCACTACGAAGAGCGAAGAGAGATTGAGTAACGTTTAAAAAAATGTAACTGCCACACATATCGATATTATTTCTATTGAGAGATATCCACTGAAATATCACCGCGCTGTCTCTCTCTAATGGAAGTTCGCCGAAAATTTTCAGCGGATAACAGATATCGTGACCGCGTAAGATCGCGAGATAAATCAGTGGCAGACGTGAATCTATGACGCAATGCTGTGGAATCCGTCGGGTGTCCGACGTCACGCTATTATTTTCAACCTCACGACCTGCCGAAGCGCCTGACCTATCCCCCCCCCCCCCCCCCAAGATACACCGAGACATGTCCAAACGGATGGATTACGGATCGATAAGAGGTTGCGGGGGATAGAAAAAAAAACCTCTCCGAGACGATGGAGCTAAAAAAAGGCGAGGCGAAAAAAATCACGGGTAAATTGAGATAAAGGGTAATCGACTGTCTTGCCTGCCTCATAACACGCGGGTGCATGAACTGTTATGCATAATAGGCCGCTCCACATCGTAATTAAAGCACTTTCCTACGATCAATTAAGTAATCAATGGATTAGTAAAAACGGCTTGTTAATTCATTTGCGGCGAATCATTACACTCGCGAATTAGAATTCGAGATACCGATGTGCGAAGGAATCGCTTAGCGCTTTAAATATACGGAAAGTAAACGGAGCGTGAAGGCGAGATTGCCACGCGGCGAAGTTAACTCCATAGATCCTCTCAAAGACCTGGAATTCACTGAAATCCTGTTGTACTCATATTCCTTTTTAGTTCCTTGCTTTCTATACGTTAAATCTCTGTTCGATATAATAAGTTAGATATTTCGTCGTAAATATGTCAATTTTACTTTACGAAATATTGTTGCTTTCTCTCATGTTTCCGTCGAAGCTCGTTGCGCTTCATTTCTCACGCTCTTTGTAAAAATAGAAGGTTATCTCTTCGCGTATCTGCAACACGAATGCAATGCTAATGACTGGTAGTCAGTAATTTATTGAATATATGCATATGGACATTTCTCGAGTAGACCCGAAGTTCCGCGGTAGATTTGCGATAACAAGTGCCGAGTTTCGCGTTCGCGTACACCTAGTATTACTATCCCTCGCCTTAATGTGCGTTCGCCAACTTGCACGGTAGGATGAAGCCATTAATTACGCCAGAACGAGCTTGAGGTTGATGATACGAGTAAACCGACCCAAGACACGATGTTATAGTATATACATTATTTTATGTAGCAAATGCATCATTACATATTGCTCGCTATCGATATAACAATTATCACGTAGTCGTAGAGCGTATTTCAATTGTAAAATTATTGCGGTGCATTGTGAAGAAACATATCCATAATAAATTTCGATTTTTGCTAAATACGAATTCATTACTAAATGGTTTAGTTTTTTTAAGGAGATTCTTAAAGAAGTAGGTGACAAAACTGCCTAGGTATCTCTGATTGTGAGTCAACCGAGTTATTATAGATCGCGACTGTGGTGACATTTTTCTTAGCTACCGGAAGGAAATACATCGGAGAAAAACACAAGCGGGAGACGCGACTGAGTGAGTTAACTCAAAATAAATCCAACACTCATCGTTCTAGTCACATCTACTTGGCAGATCCCTCGTCTTCAGTCCGAGGAAAAGCACACATTTCAACTGAGCGGGTGAGCGGCTTCAGCGCTAAACTAGTTTCTGGGATACGTTAGTAAAAATATCATATATATTCTAACGAAAATTTCTTGTCGAAACAAAGAAATTTACAGTTTAATAATTAAAAACGTTTTATACTCATTCCTATCTTTTGCGATTAATCGAAATCGCATAATATGATAACCAATTTGTGTTATTTATATAAATATCTAGATTTTTGAACTACTTATATATGAATATTATTAATGCTCCGACATTTATGTTATGAAAATATGTATTACGAGTTGTTCAAAGAATCTACAGATTCTGAGACATCCAATGGATGAAAGACTGCGCAAAAATTCCTGATGGCGATGAACGAAAAGTTCTCTTCGAACGTGGGTGTTTGTTCGATCGAGCTTCATGCGCCGCGTCATGACCGAGATGCACAAGGACGAAACTGCCACTGCAGTTGCAGGCTGCGCGACTATGTATCGTCGAGCGAGCAGCGCAGCGGCAGGAAGTAGTGCGAGTGCATTATGATAATTATCATCCGCTCGCTGGAGCAAAAGCGTGAGGCATCCGATGTTCTATTTGCGCAAAATCAAAAAATATTATTATTCCATTAAGTTCAGTCATTTAAAAAATAATGCTTTTCTTTTTTCGTGTAGGGGAAGCCAGGGAGAAATGTAATGTGGGATGAACGTAACAAACGCGATTACTAAAAAAAAAAGAACATTCATGTATAAATTTGCCTGTTGCTATGTAACAGTTTTTGAATGCTCCTCCTACGTCAGTAGCGTTCGAAACTCAATGATAAAAGGTTGTGCGTTTATTGCGTCTGTGCCGTAAAAATAAGGTCAAAGTAAATACTTTGTGTTTTTTTAGGTTCCCAATATTTCATGGAAAACTTAGTTTATTCCCTTATTGTTTATTATTTATCAATAACTATTCCTTTAAGTAGTTTAGTACATAAAAATAATATTTAGACGTCAGTTTTTTTATAAAAATGATCAATTCTGGCAAATATATAAGTCGGGATAAAAGTAACAGTCTGTTATTTTTGTCCCGAAAGTAACCACTGTTATTGGTGTTGATTTATCCACTGATTTATATATACAAGGTGTTTCCTAAGTGATGTCGAAAACTCTAGGAAGTGATTCGGCCTACAATAATTATAATTATTGTATATACGTATAAGGAATAATGAATCAAGAATATATAAAGCTCAAAAATTTCACACACATTCAAACTTACATTTGAATAACATTTTTTTACAATCTAGGAATAACATTCCGAAATTAATTAGGATTATGTATCATCAAATAATACATAGGATGAAAATAAGATGTTTCAAGATGTCGCGTCGAATTTCTGAACCGTATTTCGTGAACTATCTTTTCGTATAAGTCAAGATGAACAAGTTAATGCTTCAGTTATCACTTGCACGCTCTTAATATGGTTCTATCCAAAGTCTGGCTCGTAGCCGAAGCTCGCGGCCACAAAACGATACGAAATGCAACCGCACCGAGTGGCATTCGAGAGCTCTGCGGAATGCATGCAGTTTGTAGCTCGTATAACGCTCATAAAACTGCGAGATGATGGTTAATGCGAATTACTGGATGGTAGTGCGAATTCAACGTAGACCCCAAAATAATCGAATTAAACAAGATATATCGGGGTTTTAATTAATTATTCAAATTTCTCTTAATAGCAATTTCTATATGGATGGGTGCAGTTAAAGTAAATTTAGCGTTCAAGATATACGTCAGTGGTAAGCAAAAAAAGTGAGTGTATCACTTAAAATTATGTTCTCCATTCATAACAGGCCAATCGATCAATGAAACACATTCCACGTCGACATTGTAATGAATAAAAGATTTACGATATAGCGTAGTATTAGACATGTACATTTTTTCGTACACGTTTATAATATACTTTTCCGTTCGTTCACAATCTATTTATATATACTTCACACTATATCACATATCTATACTTATACTTCAATTAAAATCGATGCAATGCAAGAAGACTAAGAGAGTCTCTTATTCATGTGGCACTTCGCCTTGGTTAACATCGGCAGCATGACGTA